TGCAACGAATGTAGAACAGTCTTTCATGACAATGGCAGCTGAGATTAAAAAGCGGATGGGCCCTGGAGCAACAGCTGGTGGTGCAGAGAAGTCCAATGTTAAAATTCAGAGCACTCCAGTCAAGCAGTCAGGTGGAGGTTGCTGCTAAAATTTGCCTCCGTCCTTTTCTCACAGCAGTGAATTTGCAATCTGAACCCAAGTGAAAAAACAAATTGCCTGAATTGTACTGTATGTAGCTGCACTACAACAGATTCTTACCGTCTCCACAAAGGTCAGAGATTGTAAATGGTCAATACTGACTTTTTTTTTATTCCCTTGACTCAAGACAGCTAACTTCATTTTCAGAACTGTTTTAAACCTTTGTGTGCTGGTTTATAAAATAATGTGTGTAATACTTGTTGCTTTCCTGATATCAGACTGTTTCCCGTGGTTGGTTAGAATATATTTTGTTTTGATGTTTATATTGGCATGTTTAGATGTCGGGTTTATTTAGTCTTCTGAAGATGAAGTTCAGCCATTTTGTATCAAACAGCACTACCAGTGTCTGTCACTTTCCATGCATAAAGTTTAGTGAGATGTTATATGTAAGATCTGATTTGCTAGTTCTTCCTTGTAGAGTTATAAATGGAAAGATTACACTATCTGATTAATAGTTTCTTCATACTCTGCATATAATTTGTGGCTGCAGAATATTGTAATTTGTTGCACACTATGTAACAAAACAACTGAAGATATGTTTAATAAATATTGTACTTATTGGAAGTAATATCAAATTGTATGGTGATAAGTATTGTTTTAATTCTTATGGTTAAAGGGAATTATAGCCTTGCATTATACTCAAAACAGCCATTTTTTGTGTGTGCAACCAGGGCATCGTAGATCTACTTTAGAGCATCATCTAAATATGCTTCCCAGCTAACACCTGATAAATGACCTAGGGAGGCATCTATGCCTTTAGGGATTTAACCAGCCTTAGTGGTTCAGGAAGATTAAATTGTATGGAAAACAAGTAACTTTAGAATGTATGCTATCTAGCCTATAATCGCTTATCCTTCTCTAAAACCATTTGAAATGGCTTCATTTATCTACATTTTGTTACTCACTTGTGATTGAGCAGGAAGCAGCACACCTTTCCTAACTGGCAAGAGATGAGACTAACACGTGTGCTAATATTGTTTCTTCTAGGCTGAGTCAGATGTCAACTCTTTTATCCTCCACAGTTGTATAACTTAGGTTGGAGGATAGTTAAAGCAGGAAATTCACTGTTTGCCCTAATTTTAGAAATTATATCCCTAAAAATAAACTGAAAGCATGAATGCAGGGTGGGAATTGTTAAATGAGAAATAATATTTATTTGGGTGGAATTTTGCACATAAGAAAATTTTGTCCTTAAGGATCCTACGGTTTGTTTTTATGATGGGAAACAAAACCCTTTCGCTAACACTTGGCATTAGGAGGTGACTGACGTCAAATTTTTTGGTTGGGGTTGAAGTAGCAGCCAAAACAATCTTCATTTAGGAGCTTGGGAAGTGGCTGTTGGCAACATGTTTTATGGTGGGGGTCTTTAATTCAATGATAAAATTTAAACTCAAAACAAGCCAAAAATTAAAGGTTTATTTTTCACTAAACAGGCAATTGAAATACATGGTACAAAAATAAGTGCTAAGATTATTGTAAAATGATATGGACAGAATAAATATTCAATTTAATTTTCCATCTATGAGAATTTCACAATAAAATCATAGTTTACTTTGTATTATAGACGTGCTTGTTGGATCTCTTCATCCTCATATAAGGCAACTGACAAATTCCTCCAGTTACCAGTAATTATTTGGGTGAAAATCTTTTAATGCTTTAAGAGATTCTTGCCTTTTTTTTAAAAAAAAACCATATCACTATAGCATACAGGGGTAAAATCCATGAACTGTTTTCTAAAGAAGCTGAGTGAGTGATACAAAATGTTAGATGCAGTGTCATGCTAAGTTTTATACATTAAGTCCTTTAAACCAGCAGCTTATTCTCGGTGAGTTCGCAAAAAACATCACGTGAATTTAAGATGCAAGCATATTTACATACTTAGTTTTGAAAATTGTTCTTTCCCACATGGCAATCATGACTGGCCCTTGCCACAAGATGCTTCAGCATGCTTTAGTTTTTATGTATATGCCCATAAATGCAGGAACCACGTATTTCCACTTCTCCCCTCATTTTTAAGTACAAACCTTTTTAATCTACTGTGGACTTAAACCTGTCCACTTTAAAAAGGTAATTACCAGTTGCCATGTTTTAAACAAAAGTGTTTGTGGTAAATTATTAAATTATGAAGACTGAAGTCCTCACAATCTCAGGACATCCTTGCTGAATGACAGCCATTCTAGTCCGAGAGTTGCTTACACTGGAGCTTCCTTAGTATACATGTTGCCATCCTAGCATATTTCACAGCAACTCTTCTTTTCGTTCCCCTCAAGCTTCTAGTCATGTCTTGCCATCATCTCCCATTTGCAGATGAGCTTAGCCATGGAGCGGCAACAAGTATCCAGGTCTCCAAACTACCAGTCCAGCTCTGAGTATTGCCACTTGCTAAACTGTGTTAATTAAGAAACTACTGAGATATTTTATTACCAGGAGTAAACTTGGGATTTCAAAACCCACCTCTAGTAAGCCAGGGTTGGCAGCCAGGCTGCTTCAATCTAACCCTGCATGTCTGCTCTTGGAAATGCCACTGGCAGTGTTTAACTAGGCTGCAGCCATTTCCGCTTGAATCTTAAGGGAGATCTTACACTCTTTAAAGCACTGCTGAAGATAATTAACAGTTGGATTGAGACTCTTCAGAGGCATTCACAGCCAGGTCCACAGAATTGGCACCCTTTAGTCACACCTAATTTCAAAGGGGAGGAACAGAAATAGCTTAAATCATTTTAGGTAAGGTAGCACTTTCTCAGGAAATAGGGCACTCCAAAATAATTCCTGTCAGTTGAAGTTGATTATATAGGTTGTATGGGAACAGAATACCATATACTGCATCAACTGCTGTATTAACCAGCTTGTTTCTATAGGGTTGTCATCTTGAATTTATATGCTAACAAAGAGTGCCTTTCAAATACAGTAGTAAATAAATGGGTCTAATTGTTAAGGGCTCTTCAGTAACATACTTAATGGAAAAGCATGATCCCAATTCCCACATCAAAGAGATGAAATATATCAATTTAAAAACAAGCCATTAGAGACATGTCTCTTTTTTTTAATCAATCCCAGGTTTTTAAAAATATTTTACATGTACATTTATATAATTATTTGCTAAGGTGGTTTTTAAGTCCCACTACATATGAAATGAAGATTAATACAGAGATGGTAGAATCATGACAGTTTAATTTTGATCATGCCCTTTATAAACCTAAAAGATCTTTCTCAAGTGCCTTCCTCAAATGATAATTTGAAGGGGTCTGAAAATTTTTTATACAGGTACCCCTGTGCTTTTCACTACGCCTCTTCACTTTTACGAAAAATGTACATTAGTACTTGTTTTTGCTAACCAAGGGTTTTCGTTTCTATGGGGGGAAAAGGTGAAAAGCTGTTTAGCAAGCGAGCCACTAAAGACACAGTGCACACCCTAAGGAGTGAGAGTAGCTTCACCAATCTCCTTCCCTAGGAACTATATTTAGCATATCTCAGCATCAAGCCACAAGAGCTATGAACTGTGTCTGAGCGCAAAGCCACCAGAGCTATGAGCTGTGTCTGAGCACATTACATATGAGTGTTATTTTAGGCTTTATGTGATAATTGGTAGGTTATTTTTTGGGTCTGAAAATGCTTTAGAATTTTTCCCATATAAATTAATGGTAACTGCTCCTTAGCTTTTACAGCAATTCAGCTTATGGAGGGTTTCATAGCATGGTCTACTTTTGGAAACCTGGAATTAAGTATGAAAAACCTTTTCCTTAAGTACTGGCCTACTGTAATACTAAAAACACAATGAAAAAAACAAAACAACTTTTTCCTTCCATGTTCATTGATGGCCCCCAAAAAACATTTTTGAAAGTGCTTTTGTTTTTGCAGAATCTGCAGGTAACAGCAATAACTGATCATTTTTGCTTTTAAAAAACTTTAAGATTGGTGCTTTAAATGGTTAATCCATAGAATTCCCTTCTTTTCCTTCACTATTGACAGTCTGTTTTTGTGACTAACTAAACTGATCCTATCCCTTTCCTTCCCTTCCTTTACCAGTTGTCACCTTCTGGAGGGAGGAGGAGTGGAGGGATGAGCCCTCCTAGAAGTAACTGTATGTTTGATAATTAGCTCTGTAATCCTGCCAAAGCTCAATGGCACTTCCCTAAGTCCCTGGCACATTTTTCTTTTAAAAATATTAGCTAGAAAGATGGAGCATGAAGCCTTGACCTATGACAAAAAGATGTCCTAAGATTAGATCCACAATAATGTGTAGAGGCTATTCATTCTCCCAACCCCCCTTTTCCATTTGCACATCAAGGGTTAAAAGTTTCTTCTAAAATCTTCAGAGGAATTTACAATAACCTAGGCTTCATTTTATAAAAAGATCCAAGCCCCTGGCCAACCATTCACTTTTTTCAGTCTCTTGGACCCTCCTGTGTGCCTGAAAATGTCAAGAATTTGGTAATTTCTTTGGTAACTTCTTTCTCCTACTAGCCTCTCAGCAGGTGAAATTTCTCAGCAGGTGGCATAGTTTAGGAGCTCTGTCTGCCATTTTTAACTAAATAGAGGGGGGAGAAACGAAGTCATCTTATCATTACTATCAAAAACTTGAAAAGCCACATGCTTTTTGTAGAGACGCACCAAAAGGAAAACCTTAGTTTGGAAGGATTCATTTTAAATAAAAAACAGTAACTTAATAGCCCTCACTTCATGGAAGAGAAAGGCATTTCAAGCTAGAAGTTAGTTAATTTTCCCCTTGACTTCAGTTTTAAATGACTCTTGCAAGTACTTTCTGAAAGTTTTATCTCCCACCAGCCAGGCTGGGGCTGACATTACATTTCTACCTGAGAAGATGCCTGAAAGAGAAAAAGAAGCATTTGTTACAGGCTTAACGCTTAGAGGAGGACATCACTGCAGCAATCATCTTTGAACTAAGCACTTCATTTTAGAACTAATGTGACTATTACTATGAGACTACTCTGATGCAAATACAGCAATTCCCTGCTCTCAACATGCTGAGATTTTATCCTTCACCTTTGTCTAGAGTGAATTGTCACCTAGAAATTTTTTTTTAAGAATTAAGTACTATAAGCATATTGGCTCGTGTGGGGGGGATGGTGGTGGTCAAATAAAGTATGAATTGCCAACGTAGTTGGTTCTCAGTCTTTTCTTGGGATCAGAGTCCAGTTGTGGAATCACAGAGTGCTTAGGCAGTGGAAAACCCATCAGCACTCTTCCCCTCAATCCTTTTCCCACCATTCCCCTCTTTGACTTTCCTCAGGGATCAAAACAAAGTTGTACTAATTGGTTTTCCTTTTTCTAAGTGTCTAAGGCATGCCTCCCCTTTTCCCCTAGAATACTCTTGGCCCTTTTTTGAAGGCAGTGTAAAGTAAAATTTTGTGGGGGCCTTTTTGGAAGGGTGGGGTATCTAGAGTTATCAGTAACTGGTTTCTGCGTATACTTGGTGCTGTGAGAATTGCCTGAGGATGATGGGGGACCAAATAAGTTAGGTGAGAAGAGCCTGTAGAACAGGGGCAGCCTAATAATGGCCCCATCCTGAAGAGGTATCCTGTGCAGAAATAAAGTAGCTACACGTAAGTTTTGCTTGTTGTCCTTGGGTGGTGGGGAGAAGAGGTGGGTGGTAAAGAAACTGCTATAGAAATGAGAGCATCACTGAACACCCTAGTCCTCAACAAGCAGCAGGGAAGGGTGAGCCAGTTACACAAAGCAGCCCAGTGGGTTGAAGACTCATCACCACAGCAAGACCCCAATTTTCTTCCTGGCAATGGCTGTGATTCCTTTTTCAGTACCATGGGTTATCTTCCTCTAGTATCGCACATTCATTTCAAAGCTTTGAGCTCAACAAATGTCTAAGAAACCAGCTTACGGTTAGCACGGGAGCTCTACAGCCTAATCAAATCAGCAGTAGGTTTTAAAGAGATTTTCTTCTGGTTGCTCTGCTTACCTGGTTAAACCCCTCACACTGGTGCTCCTTTGCTGTCATTGGCTTATTGTCAGGGATGAGGGTGCAGCCAGCCAGCACGTCCAGAGAGGCTAAGATAGAGTCATACATATGATCTGCGTGGCTCTCCAGTTCACCAGACTGCTCCGCAATCCTCCCCAGGACGTCCTTTAAAACTAACAAATGAGGTTCAAAGCAATTAGGCAAAACAAACAAAAAGCCCTGCTAGTGTTTCCCAACAGAACATACAAGGGTGTTTCTTTGCACAAAATAGGAACAAGGCAGCCATTCTGGAGCATTCACTTTTTTCCCCAATGACTCTGGAGAGTCCTCTGTGGCACTGGCGATCTTTGCTGTTAACCTCTGATTAAAGGTGAGAGAAGATCCACTGGCTCCACTTTGAAATAACATTATGTCTTAAGATAGACACACAGACAGGGTTCTATGGTGACTGGTATTAACCAAATTAAGAGATGAGACACAGGGTGCACAGAGATCCTTTTGGACAAAGGGCTTAAATGAAACAACACGCCAAGATTAGAACTCTGGGCCTTGCTACTGGGTCCTATCACCTCCTGTTGGTTGGGTGAGCTGTAATTTTAGCATATGTGTAAGAGTCTAAAGGAGCTCTGGTGGCAGTTCAAACCCACCAGCCGCTCCTCAGAAGGAAGGTTGGGCAATCTACTTCTGTAGAAATATACCTACCGCCTTGGAAACCCAAGGAGGGGTCGCTATGAGTCTGATCTGACTTGATGGCAGTGCGTTGGTCGCATTATGAGAGTTTAAGGGAGCCCTGGTAGTGCAGTGGCTGAAGCATTAAGCTGCTAACCCAAAGGTCAGCTGTTCAAGCCCACCAGCCAGGTGGGAGAAAGATGAGGCAGTCAGCATCCATAAAGAGCTACAGCTTTAGGAACCCTGTAAAGCAGTTCTTGGTCCTATAGGATAGCTGAGTTGTACTGACTTGACAGCAAAGGGGTTTTGGTTTGGGATGGGGGTGTAAGAAGCCCTGGTGGTGCAGTGGTTAAAGCGCTCATCTGTGGACCAGCTGTTCCATGGGCGAAGCTGTGGCAGTTGCCAGTAAATATTTACAGCCTTACAAACCCTACATAGGGCAGTTCTGTCCTATAGGGTTGCTGAGTTGAAACTGACTCCACAACAGTGGGTTTATTATGGGGGTCTAGTAATGGTTTTTCATTAATGTATTTGGGAACATCTGTGAATCCCTTTTTGTGGTCCCAACTGAACAGAGAAAATTAACTGAACACAGGCTAAAATGAGTATTGGTGAGGCCAAGATTCATGCCTTATGTTGAGTTAGAAGAGTTGCATGTGAGGAAGGGATGGGCTAGGTCTAGAGTGCTCACGCACAGCAGGCTTGTTTTCTCTTTTAAAAAGTTTCTTTTGTGAGGCACAAAGACTGCTGTAGCTTCCTGGGCCCTTATCAGCTGTGCTAACTCACTCCCAAGTTTCCTGCCACAGCTGCAACATCTGCTGGCAAAGGAAGCGAGAACGGAAGCTGCCTATGTGCAGACAATGCTGACTGGATGAGCGGAAGGAGCAACACAGGCTGGCTGTGTTGAGATCCACCCCCTGGGAAGCCACAGCAGTGCAGCGTCATCAGGGCAAAGTGCTGTCCTGACAGCTCACGAGAGTGCTGTCAAGGCAAGCAGAGCCGTGTGGCCAGAGTGCGTGCGTAATAAAGCTTGCTTTCGGGGTGACTGTACTGGGTTCTTGCCAGCTACGCTCATCAGACTTCTGTTCAGTCCCGAGTGTTGTGCGAATTCAGGGGTCATTTATTTTTGAGCCCTGGTAGCAAAGTGGTTAAAGTGCTTGCTGCTAACCAAAGGTCTGTCTGAACCCACCAATAGTTCCACTGGAGAAAGATGGGGCAGTCTGCTTCAGTGAAGATTCACACCTTTGTAAGCTCCATGGGAGCAGCTCTGCTCTATCCTATAAGGTCACTGAGTTGGAATTGACTCAGTGGCAGTGGGTTTAGTTTGTTACTGCATTTTTGAACCTTTATTTTGAGATGAAGCTCCTTTTTAAACTTTCTATTGTAATGTTTGAAAGGGAAGCTGAAAATAAGAATGGAAAAAATATATTCTGAGTGAGATTTTTGTTTTTTAACAATGAAAGTATACAGAGGTCAGATTTGGCTTAATGCCAACAGGTTCAAGCCCTTTGATCCACAATGATAAGGAAGTTGAGTGTGAGAACAATTGGACTATGTGCTTATGCAGCTGAGTCAAAAAGTTCTGACAGCCTGCCAGATTCTTGTATGTAGGTGTATGGCAGGAGGAGACTGGGACATTTGGACGGGAAGGAAAATGATGCCTTCACATCCTTAAGATAACGCTGAAGCGGAGGAAGACGACCTGGCTCTGGGGCTCTGCCTTCACTGAATCACAATGTGCTCCTGAAGAGAGCAGATATGGCCCTTGCTGAGAGAATGTGTAGTGTTGTCAAGGGGAACATGTGTGATTTTCACAAGAACAGCCAAGTTCCCCATAATTTCAAGCAGAGGATGCAGAAGGGCAGTACAGTATGTCAGTCTGAAAGTAAATGTATAGATACATGTCAGAAAACCCACAAGCCAGTGAAATACCTTTGGATCCCTTTTCAGAGAAGAGCAAAGTGAGATACTACAGATAAAGCACTGATAAGCATTACCGAGTTGGTTTTTTAATAAAGATCAAAGAACTCAGCCTTAAAAACAGCTATTTTTACATGTGCCTCCTTGATGTGTTTCCTGTCCTACTCAGGAGCCTGCACCTTCAGACACTGTGGCAGCAGCAAGGCTGGTGCCTTGGGCTCAAGCCAGGCTGCACACCTTCCTAGCTGTGAGGTCCAAGGCAAGTTAAAAACAGGAAGAAGGGAGTAGTCATTGTATCTCACAGAGCTGTAATTAGATGAAAAAGATTGATACGTCAACTGCTTCAGCACCCTGTCTGGCATATGGTAAGTGTTCTGGCAAAATGCTGGTGTAATTTTAAGTGGTGAAGAAGCTAGGTGTACTGAATTTCTGCCCTAACAAAGAACCAAAAAACAAGTTGGAGGGAATACAGAAAGAGCCAAAACAAAGGCCTTAAGAGGGCAGGGGACTGGAATGGGCTCTAGTAATTCACACCAGATAAATCACTTTCCTGCTCAAACCCCTTCTTCAGTGGCTCCTTGTCCAGTGAAACCTCTCCACAGTATTTTTGGTTATTTTTCCCCAGGGACATTTAGCAATGTCTGGAGACATTTGGGGTTGTCTAAACATAGTGCCTAAGGCACTTGACTGCTAACCAGAAGGCTGGCGGTTCAAACCCACCAGCCACTCCTCGGAAGGAAGGTTGGGCAATCCTACTTCCATAGTGATACTGCCTCGGAAACCCAAGGAGGGGTCGCTATGAGTCGGGGCCGACTCGACGGCATATAACAACAACAACAACAAACCAGGGGTAAAGATGTGCTACTGGCATCTAGAGGGTGGGAGCCAGGCTGCTGTGGAAGATCCTACAATGCACAGGATTTGTTCTTGTTGGGTGTGTCCAGTTGGCTCCAACTCACAGCAACCCTATGTACAACAGAATGAAACGCTGCCCGGTCCTGTGCCAGCCCCACGATCCTTGCTATACCTGAGCCCATTGTTGCAGCCACTGTGTCAATTCATCTCATTGAAGGTCTTTGAAGGTCTTCCCCCTTCTTCACTGACCCTCCATTTTTCCATGCATGACATCCTTCTCCAAGGAATGGTCCCTTCTGACAACATGACCAAAGTAGGTGAGATGAAGTCTGGCCATTCTTGCTTCCAAGGAGCATTCCGGCTGCACTTCCTCCAGGACAGGTATGTTTGTTCTTCTGGCAGTCCATGGTACTAAAAAGTATTCTTTGCTAACACCACACCTCAAAAGCATCAACTCTTCTTTGGTCTTCCTTACTCACTGTCCAGCTTTCATATGCATATGAGGTGATTTAAAACACCATGGCTTGGGTTAGGCACACCTTGGTTTTCAAGGAGACATCTTTGCTCTTCAGCACATTAAAGGGGTCTTTTGCAGCAGATTTCCCCAATGCAATACGTTGTCTGATGTCTTGACTGCTGCTTCCACTGGTGTTGACTATGGAACCAAGTAATATGAAATCTTTGACAAGTTCAGTCTTTTCTCCATTTATTGTCATGCTGCTTATTGGTCCAGTTGTGAGGATTTTCTTTATGTTGAGGTGTAACCCATACTGTAGACTGAAGTCTTTAGTCTTCATCAGTAAGTGCTTCAAGTCATCTTCACTTACAGAAAGCAAGGTGGTGCTGTCTGCATATCACAGGTTGTTAATTAAATGCCAAGCATGTTCTTCCTTTTTGGTTTTCTAACTCCAGGTCTTTGCACATTTCATTGTAATACTTGACTTTGTCTTCTTGAGCTGCTCTTTGAAATCTCTCGTTTAGCTCTTTTGTCATTTCTTCCATTTGCTTTAGCTACTCTTTGTTCTATCTTGATGCTGTGTTCTTCATATAGTCCAGCTTGTATTATTTGTTCAGCATACAGATTGAATAAGTATGGTGAAAGGATACAACTCTGACACACTCCCCTCCTGATTTTAAACCATGCATTATCCCCTTGCTCTGTTCAAACTACAGCCTCCTGATCTAAGTACAGCTTCCTCATGAGCACAATGAAGTATTCTGGAATTCCCATTCACCTTAATGTCATCCCTAATTTGTTAATGATCCACACAATTGAATGGTTTTGCATCGTAAAATACAAGTAAACATCTTTCTGGTATTCTTGCTTTCAGCCAGGCTCCATCTGACATCAGCAGTGATATCCCTCGTTCCATGTCCTCTTCTGAATCCAATTTGCATTTCTGAAGTTCCCTGTCAATATACTGCTACAACTACTTTTGAATTATCTTCAGCAAGATTTTGCTTGTATGTGATATTAATGATATTGTTCACTAATTTCCTTATTTCTGTGGGATCACCTTTCTTTGGAATGGGTACAAATACGGATCTCTTCCAGTCAGCTGGCCAGGAAGCTGTCTTCCAAATCTCTTGGCCTAACTGAGTGAGTGCCTCTAGCACAACATCTGTTCATTGAAACATTGTTATGGGTATCCTGTCAATTCCTGGAGCCTTGTTTTTTCACCAATTCCTTCAGTGCAGCTTCTACTTCTTCCTTCCATACCACTGGTTCTTGATCATATGCCACTACCTGAAACAGTTGCACATCCACCAATTTTTTTCTGTACAATGACTGTGTATTCCTTCCATCTTCTTTTGATGCTTCCTGTATCATTCAATATTTTGCCCACAGAATCTTTCAATATTGCAACTTGAGGCCTGAATTTTTTCTTCAGTTCTTTCAGCTTGAGAAATGCCAGGCATGTTCTTCCTTTTTGGTTTTCTAACTCCAGGTCTTTGCACATTTCATTGTAATTACTGACTGTGTTTTCTTGAGCTACTCTTGGAAATCTTCTGTTCAGCTCTTTTATCTTGTCATTTCTTCCATTTGTTTTAGCTACTCTCCTTTCAAGAGCAAGTTTCAGAGTCTCTTCTGAGGATAGCACCCCCAAAAGAAAGACTTCAACTCAAAATTTTGTCAGTAGTGCCGAGGCTAAGGTTTAGAAGCGCTGTTTGACACCCCCTCCCCAACATTTCTTCCAGGAAAGTTCCCCCTCACTGCCTGTTAAGCACTGTGTTCTTCCCAGCATTGCTTATGCTTTTTGCTTTCAACATAAACCCTACCTCATTCCAAAACACAAGGCAAAGCGTAAGAAAGCTGGACCTTTTGAGCACTAGGTTGTACAGTCTTACAGAAAATTAGGTGCTGCTTTTGCAGGTCTATCAGTTCATCCTTTCAGCCTAGCACTATCCTAGTTTTATCTTTCTTAACGTGCACAACCCCTGCCTCCCCAGTCTCTGCAAGGATGCTAATGAATGCAGATCTTTGGCACCCTGCATTCTCTTGGAACCTGTGATCTTTCTACTCTCCTAAACTGGGAATCCATGCTGTCAAATGGGCTTGAGTATAGTTTGCATTCATATTGCCCCCCTGCTCCCCTCATCAGTTCATTCCTCCTTCCTCTATGCCTTGGAGTAGGCTGACTGTTCTCAAATCCTATTGAGAGTGAGAATCCTTCTCTGAACCAAATCTTTTTCCAAAGCAGAAGAAAGCAGATAACCAGAGAGGAATTCAGCCAGAATTGGAGATAATGGGGGACACCCCCCCCCCAACCAAGGCTGCCCACTTTGATGTGCTTGCAAGGGGCAGCTGGGAAGGAAGAGCTGAGGGGCAGTGGTGGTATGAGGTGCCATCAGACAGTCTGGGACTCCAGTGGCAATGGGTATGTGTGGGAGGGGCCCTTGCAATACTAGTTCCTTACCAGTGACAGTGTGGTTGCCTGAGTCTCTGAGCCCCTGGGCCTGCTGCTGAGTGGATTAAGCTCTGGCTAAATGCAGAACCTCCAACACCTCACCTGGGGTATTATCCAACAGGCACTGAAGAAGAATCTCCCCTTTCTGTAAGACACTCTCTGTCAGGAACTGGTGTTCATCTAGATCTTTCTTAAATTTCTTAACACAAATCATAAAAGAAAAGAAAAAGAAGCTTTGTTACTATCATTTTGTAAGAAGCTGTTCAAAATGAATACTGTGCAGTGTAGCTTGATTCCCCTCTACCCTGGAAGATAAAACCCACCCAGATTCAGAATTCCCAGTTAAACACTGTAGTCGTTTAACTTCACCTTTGAGCCCAACATAAATATAGTCTATCACTCTGCCTGTTTACACTTTGACAACAGATTTATTTTCCTTCTCAGAGCCCGGCTCATGGGCAGCTTGGAGTTAGGGCTTCTCTTTGGTGTGTCTCATGGGGTTCCTTTGAACTCAATACAAGAGTCTTTTCTAATGGGCCCGATAAGAACCACAAGGCATCTGCCATTTAAGTAATGCCTCCCTGCCAGTGCCCCTGTCAAGGAGCACTTACAGGACAAACTCCTGTTGGGCCTCGGCATCAGGGAAAATGGTGACTCTCCTGAGCAGCTGTCCCCTCCTGTGGCCCAAACCCTGTAGCTGTCAGTTTGCGATGCTCTGTTAGCTGCTAATGTGTGTCATCAAATCCACAGCTCACCTTTATTTCAGGGTGAAGAACTTGCTGGTTCACATTTCAAGGTGGCGTAGTGCCTAAGGCACTTGACTGCTAACCAGAAGGCTGGTGGTTCAAACCCACTAGCCACTCCTCGGAAGGAAGATGGGGCAATCTACTTCCATAGTGATATTGCCTCGGAAACCCAAGGAGGGGTGGCTATGAGTCGGGTCCGACTCGATGGCACATAACAACACAACAATTTTATTCTTGGATTTACTATTTTTTATTCTTCAGTTTTCCTTTGCCATGATACTTATTATTTTATTATTTAGTAGTACTCTGGTGGCATAATGCCTGAGGCACCTGACTGCTAACCAGAAGGCTAGCAGTTCAAACCCACCAGCCATTCCTCAGAAGGAAGACTGGGCAATCTACTTCCATAGAGATACCACCTCAGAAACCCAAGGAATGGTCTCTATGAGTAGAGTCAACTCAATGGCAGTGAGTTTATGTACTTTCTATACCATCTTCAACCCACTGGGTAATTAAGACAAAATATGAGAAAATGAGTCACACGTAAGATGCAATTAACTATGTATTTCCACATACAGTTACTTATGCTAAAGCAAGAATCTCAATCTGAGCAAGAGTCAAGGTAGTTCATACATATGCATGAGCCAGGCGAATAGGATGACAGTGCAGTCCTGCTTTTTGACACAGCCGTGTGGTGACACCAGACAACTAGATCTCATTGGCCTGCGGGGCTAACTATTGGCTCAGATCTCAGCTCTACCCACAAGGTGTGATGGTCGCTTCTGGCTGGCCTGAAAGCTGATGCACAGATGGACAGATGGATGGTATGAGGGATAAAATGGAAGGAACAGAGCTATTCCACTTGGCCCTGTGCTCCGAGGGCCTGTGGCACAGCAGCTCCTTGGATGGGGGCTGAGTCACCTAGGAAAGGCCATCAAGGTAAGTCCAAGGAGGGCAACTTCCTTTAGAGAGCCTGGCACGGGGGCACCTCCTAAGGCCCACTGCATATAGCTCTCTGCACAAAGCTGCAGACTGAGGTCCCCTGGCCTCAAACCCTTCCTTCCTCAAGCTCACCCAGGGCAAGGGATTCATGTACACAAGTAGGAAAGAGCATTCCCACTAGGGTGGGCCACTGCCCCACCCACCTAGACCCAGGTGAGGCCACTCCCCTAAATGTCACTTGGCTCCCAAAGTTAAAACTTAGGCCCTCTGTCCAGCCAGAACTATCAGAAAGGCTTGGCCAACTAGATATGCTGACAGTTCAGCCAAGGTTAATGTTATACTTAGGGCGACTATGTAATTTATCATCCAAATCACAATACTTCACAGACTGAAAAGGGAACCTATAATAATTATGCTTGAATAACAAATGTAAATTAGAACAAACAGCTACCCTAAATATGCTGGTTCTAGGGTCAAGTTAACCAGAAGCCACAATTCAATTTTTTTTTAAATAAAAAAAAAAAGCAGTAACAGAACAGTATCGAACCTTAATGGAATAGGCAAAAATAAAACACAACCCACCAAAAAACAAAAACCCAAAACACTTAGAATACCAGCACTGTCCAACAGAACCTTCTGTGATGAGGGAAATGTTCCCTGTCTACATTGTTCAATGCAGTAGCCCTGCAACACCTATGGGACTGAGCATTTGAAATGCGGCCAGTGCAACTGAAGAACGGAATCTTCTTTTTACTAAGATTTAAATTTAAATAGCCGTATGTGATTAGTGGCTACTGAACGGGCAGTGCTGCTCCCTATTTACCAATCCTGAGGCATTTGAAAAATTAAATTGCAAATTACCCTTAATATTTTTTTATATCATTTATTACTGTTGAGAATATACACAGCACAGCAAAACATATATCAATTCAACAGTTTCTACATGTACCATTTAATGAAACTGGTTACGTTCTCACCCTCCATTTCTAAGTTGTTCCTCTTCCACCATTAATATAAACTCACTGCCCCCCAACGTTTCTAATCTTTTCAGACAGTTGCAGCTGTCACTTTGATCCAATATAAACAGTTATTAAAAGAGCATGTTGTTCTAGGCAGAGTTTTGTTTTTTTTTTTTTAAACTAGCTAAGCTAAACTGTTCAGTTTTAAGATGACTTCAGGGAATATGTTTGGTTTAAAGATACCTCAGGACAGTTATTTAAAAGGTTCATCCACCCTCGATGGCTCCAGAAAGTCTAGTGTCCGTAAGAATTTGAAATTGTGTTCTGCAATTTTCCCCTTTTGATCAGGATTCTTCTATGGCATCTTTGATCAAATCATCCAGTAATGGTAGCTGGGTACCAATCTAGTTCTGGTGTCATGGCAAAAGAGACAGGTATTCATGAAGGCAATTAGCCACATATTGCATATCTTCTTTTAAGTATTTCTGACTAAAGATTAATATAATGTATTTTCTCCCAACTCTATGGGCCAGGGAAATAAGTCATATATTTTATAAAGTTTTTCAATGTCAAGATTTTGAAAAGGGGCTTTTGATTACATTTCAAGTTAAAATCACTTGAGTCACAACATAACTATAGAGATTTGACTCTGTAATCAAGTAATTCAGCCCCCATTTTTGTGGTGAACAAGCCAGAAGCCAGGACCACGTATTTACCCGGTAAAGCTGCAGAGAAGACTTGAGGCCTGAAAGACTGGACTTGCGTGGAATCAAGTGGTCGGTCATGTCTGCTACCTTATACAGCCAGTGGATCAGTTCTTCCAGCTGACAGCAAAATGTCTGCTTAGACAAAAGAATGCCTGTTGTTTCTGACCGAACTGCTATTCACAATTATCAAGAGGTTAACATCAGGGCGTGTCCCGGAGCTCCCCCTCCCTCCTCTTCTCTCCCCACCCCCTACTCCCCATGCCCCCAGGACTCTAGACCTCTGCCAGAGCAAGAGGAAAAGCCCCACCCTATTTTGTTTCCCTTCAACCTGATGAGATACCAAAAATGACAAGCTGAAAAAACACAGCCCTACATATGAAAGTGGAGCAGCTAAGGGCAGGGGCAGGGGCAGGGGGACAAGCCAGAGGGGCATGCCTGCCACAGAAACTAATCCTTGGGTCAGCACCATGCTACTCTACCACTATTTCTGTGGGAAACATGAATGGAAAATAAATGACTATGATCATGACTAACTTGAACCCATAGCTCAAAACAATCAAATAAAAAAATAAATCATCTCTTTTCTGCCCCTACCACTGCCCAGGAAGTGGGGCCCCTAGGCTCTGCCGCCGGCTGCTCGCTCTAAGGAGGCTGTGAGCCAAGCTCTTTTACCTCATGGTAGTATCTTTTATCACAAAAAAAGGTCCAAGGTAACATTGGTCCTATCTGCTTCACAGGACAAATAAAATAATCCACATGGCATCACAGGGAAGGGTAAAGCCCTACTGAAGTGCCAGCGAACATTCTCAGTATGGGCCAATGGCTGGGGCAGGGGTTAGGGGTGGGCGGCTGTTGCTGTGGATGTGGGGACACTCACTCCCAGGAGGCAAGGACAGCAGGACCCTCAGAGTTGACAGCCACTATGCCTGAACCTTCATCATGTGTCAGATAGTGAGAAGCCCTCAATATGTATCACTTAGTCTGCACAACATCCCTAAGAGGCAGATAAGCAAGCTCAAGAGAATGAGCCAGAATTCCCAAGGCAGTACCTTCATTCAAATTCAGATCTGACGCTGATGCCCCTATTCCATGGAGTATTAATTTTATCTGCATAATTAACAAGCAGGCTACAAAAAGAAGGTCCTGTGGCTAAGTCTACAAAATGGTGCATCTAATAATGCCTGTAACTTTGGTGAGTCACATCACTTTGGTGTACTGAAGTATGGGAAGTCCTGCAGTGAAAAAAGCCACTTAACCTTTGTCTTCAGCCCAGCATGTATGAAATATATCCAGACGCAGAACGCTTTTTGTGCAGAACACTTCCTGATATCCTCAAGGTCAGGAGAGTTGGGAAGCAGACTGGGGAGGTGGCTATGTGCTCAGGCACTGCAGCCAGCCAGTCTGGGTGTGCTTCCTGGCTCCAAACCAAAAAAACCAAACTCACTGCCGTCAAGTCAATTCTGACTCATAGCGACCCCTCCTTGGGTTTCTGAGGCAGCATCCCTACAGAAGTAGGTTGCCCAACCTTCCTTCTGAGGAGTGCCTGGTGGGTTTGAACCGCCAACCTTCTGGTTAGCAGTCAAGTACTTTAGGCACCACGCCACCAGAGCTCCCTTCCTGGCTCCAGCCCTTGCTAACTGTGAGGTCTTGGGCAAATTATCTAACCTCTCTGTGCCTTTATCCAATAGTAAAATGAGAACAATAGTACTCTGATACAGGTTGTGAGGATTAAATAAGGTAAGGTAGGGTACCTGGCACATAAAAAGTGCTGTCAGTGTTAACAAGCACTATTCTGATGGCAGTGGACTGCGATATCACCCCACAAAGCCCCTGAAATGTCAAGTGTCCTTACCTTCACACATTGCATAAGCGGTTCTCTTCCCTGCTCTCCTCTCCTGAGAGTATGCCCATCAGCATCTGAGTCTGAGAATGCCCGCTGGTCCAGTATGGCCTGGCAGGGGGGGTGTGCTTTCAGTGGTCCACAGGGCACCCCTAGGGCCTGGCTGCTCACCAAATTACCTTCCCCTGCAGAGTCTCGGGCCTGGTCCAACGAGCGCAGGAAACAGTGCTTCTGTCCCCCAGAGTCCCACGACTCTGGGAGTGCAGCCCTAGGAGCAAACTGGCTTTGGCTAGAGTGTGATGGGAATGAAGCTGGCCCATCACTATCTGAAACTTCCAGGGAACTCTGTCCTTTGGCTGCCCTAGTCGGCTCAGGTATGGGAATGGAACCTAGATAGGAAACCAAACTAGAAACCTGTGTCAGCCGAGTGGGCAGGGCAAGATACTCATCTTCGCTTTCCATCTCTTCTGCTTTCCATCCAGACGCCATGTAAGTGGGGTGAGAGACACCCTGGCTGGCCCGCCTCTCCCTCTCTGGCTTAGATGAGGGCCACCCTCTACCTTGTGGCCTCAGTGTGGGAGAGCTTCCCTCAAGGTGGGTGCCCATGGGTAGCCAGACCTTCGAGCCCCTCAGGGTGGGCTCTTTGCTCTGCCAAGGAATAGCCCTACAGCCTGGGACTCTGGGGGAGGAAGCAAGCTGGCTACAAGATGGCAACCCCAAGCTGCCCTGCTTCTGGGGCACTCCTGGAGGCTGGCGCTTAAGGCTTGGCTCTCTGGGATGAGAGAAAAGCAGGGCAGTGGCCTCTGCTGGTGGGCAACTATGGGCAACATTACTGGGTGATTTTACAGTACTTGCTGGGGAGACAGAAAAGCTATCCAGGTCTATACCAGAGTCCTGCAGCACAGGGTCAGCCAGCACATGACTGTCAAGGTGCTTTGGGAGTGAAGGTCCAGGCCTCAGGGGATAAGTATAGTCAAGTAGGTCTTCATACTCTTTATTTGGGTTCCAGAGAGGGGAGTGGCGGTCGGGGGAAGGAGGCAGGGAATCTGGTAGCACACAGGCCCAGTACTCAGCCTGGAAGGAGAGGCGCCTCCTGCCCAGCCCAGCAACTCCACCTTCAGAGGACACAGGTTGTGGTGACCAGTGGAACTGAGGCCTTGGCACCACAGATGGGGACGACTGGGGAATGACCAGCTCCAGAGAGGAGACCTTGGCAGCAGAGCAACTCTGAGGCTCCACCTTCTCTTGGCAACTCTGGAGACTACTGACCGGGGATGAGGCAGAAGTGCTGTGGCTGGAAAACTGAGGAGCAGCTGCACCTGGGCTCGTCCTGGATGTCCACCTTGATGGGAAGGGGAAACCTGAGATGTGAGGCTTTTGGCTGAGGTCCAGCACCTGGGGCGACTCAACTGGGGATGGGTCATCTTCTGTATCGGCATCATGTCCTAAGCAAAGGGCTGTAGTTTTGGGAACGGTATGAGTCTGAGGTAGCTCCTCGGAGGCAGAAAGCTTGGTCTCCTCCAACTGCAAAAAGAGGGACGAAAAAGCACTCAGGTGAAAATAATCAAACCACCCAAAAACCCAATGCCACTAAGCAGATTCTGACTCATAGTGATCCTACAGGACAGAGTAGAACTGCCCCATCTTTCTTCCACAGAGCAGCTGGTGGGTTCAAACCACTGATTTTTGGGTTAGCAGCTAAATATTTTGACTGCTATACCACCACAGTTCCTTCTTACATGCCCAGCTGGGTGTTTTCTTGGGAGGCCCAGGTAACATTCAGAAAAAGTCTCAAAGAAAAGAAGAGTCTGTTGCTTGAGGCAAGCTGTAGACAGAGTATGTGCTGCTAATGGCCAGCTAGAGCCTTGGCCTGCTCCAGGGGCAGGACTGTTATCTCCAAACTTCTAACACCTGGTCCTTTCAAAAGTTGTTCCTCCACAAATATGCAGTTTCTGAATGACAACTCAGAATAGGTCTGTCATGCTGAAACTGAAATATACTGCCTAATTTTTGAGGTGTGTCTCTATCATTCTGTTGCCAATGAGAGAGTCACATCCCAGCCCAGCAGGCAGGCGTCCCACCATGCCACACTCCATCAGTTCACACACCAGCAGTTACTGAACACTGGCAGAATGAGTCATTCACTTCCACTTCTTCACTTTGAATTTTTCCCCAAAAACTTTATTTTGCTGTTGTTAATATACATAGCAAAATATACACAATTCAACAGTTTGTACATGTACTTTAATGACAGTGATTACATGGTTTTCAGTAGCCAATTTTTTCAAAAGCAGATGGCCCTATCCTTCTTCTCAGTCTGTTTTAGCCTGTCTTAGTCTGGGAGCTCCAGTGAAACCTGTCCATGTAAGTGATCCAGACTGTATTTGAATTACCAATGGCATACCTTCCAGCCTCACAGCAACACGCAAGCTACCACAGTACAAAAAACTGATAGATGAATGGTGGCTTTGAAAGCAAAGAATTCGAGATATTTACCTCTGTTTTACTGACTATGCAAAGGCATTTTGACTGTGCAGGTCCTAACAAATTATGGATAACACTGTGAAGAATGGGAATTCCAGAACACTTCATTGTGCTCATGAGGAAGCTGTACGTAGATCAAGAGGCTATCATTCAAACAGATCAAGGGGATACTGCATACAGTATCAGAAAGGGTGTGTGTCAGAGTTGTATCCTTTCACCATACTTATTCAATCTGTATGCTGAGCAAATAATCTGAGAAGCTGGACTATATGAAGAAGAACTATATGGAGGAAGACTCATTAACAGCCTATAATATGCAGATGACACAACGTTGCTCGCTGAAAGTGAAGATGACTTGAAGCACTTACTGATGAAGATCAAAGACTACAGTCTCCAATATGGATTACACTTCAACAGAAAGAAAACAAAAATCCTCACAACTGGACCAGTAAGCAGCATCATGATAAATGGAGAAAAGATTGAAATTGTCAGGGATTTCATTTTACTTGGATCCACAATCAACACCCATGGAAGCAGCAGTCAAGAAATCAGATGTTGTATTGCCCTGGGCAAATCCACTAGTTGTTGTTGTTGTTATGTGCCCTCGAGTAGGCCCCTCCTTGGGTTTCCGAGGCAGTATCACTACGGAAGTAGGATTGCCCAACCTTCCTTCCGAGGTTATAATTTTATCCCCAAGTTTAGAACAGTCCATTCTATCTTGCAACTCTCTTAACTTCCTCACCATTTAGAAGTTCTGTGACTACACAGTCTTTTCCCTCTTTTTGTTTGTAGTTGTTCTCACTTGCCAATTGATGTCTCTGGTTCCCTGTTTACAATCTTGT